TTCGGCTAATTGTGCATAAGGATGGCATTTAACTTAATGAATATCTCATGCACAATTACTATGTGTTAAAAGCTCAGTATCTACTAGAAAAAAGGGTGTGGGAGCAGACAGATAACACTTACACCCACTCACACCCTCACGAGCACTTCGCATCGTTCAGATACATTAGGAGGTTATTGTTCGTTCTCATTTAAAAAAACAGGTAAATCAAAATATCCGAAGCTTTCACAAAAAATAATCTAGTTAAGATCTGTTGCCATATCATCTTTTTTCGTGCTAATGAACGATATCATGATATCCATGGCACAACCAATAAATGCATCTTTTGGGGATAGAAACCGTTCCAAGATAGAAATAAACAAAAAATAGAAAGAGCCATAGCTTTTTTTCGAAGGTCCTCCCAATCATCAAACATTTGTACTCCTTCCTACTCACTACTCTCATTAGATTAGTATGCAAGACTGTTCTAGAATAATTTCAATGAAAACTTTATTTAAGTGTAAAGGGTCACTCACTTTATAGATGAACTTGTTTGAAGCATTGCATTTACGTGCTTCAATCAAAGTTAATTCAAGAATATAATTGAATTTTTACTCACAACTATCGTTTCTAGAGCATCCCCTTTGGAATTGCTTCGAATTTTTCTTATCATATAATATGAACACGAGAATTTTGAGACGATTCATTCAAAGTTTTTTGTTGTGTTAAAGTGTTAGAAACAAAATTAATTCTGGTTTACATATATCATCTATGGATAGTCTCGCGGTGCCAAGTGATAGGTATTCAACAACGACAAAGCACACTTGAGTCGATTTTTGTTCAACAGTTATGTGTGTACCTCAAGGGGTGAAAAGCAGGTTTAGGACGCCAAAATCTTTTAAAATCTTTTAGAATCTTAAAATCTTAAAATCTGCTTTTCTCCCCTTACCCACACTTCACGCCCATACACACCCCACCTGCAAGTGTACTGTTTTGTTTTTTCGTTTTCCGAGAAGTTGTTCTAAGTGTTTATGCTGAATTAAAGACTCGTCAATTTAGAACTTGAATGTTAAGTCATACATAATCATTAGGGAGTGAGTATATCTGATCGAAGCAGAGAAATCAAACATACTTTACATTTTCATATCAAATAACATGGCTGCTGTAACGATAAATAAGACTCTGTTGAGTTTATATCGTATTGACAGACTGGATAGAGGTGGAGTAGCTTACAGCCACTCACGGCAATGATGTTTATTCGTTTATTCACATATCCAGAGTGTAACAACTTCATACATAACACACGTATATATAGGAGAGAGAGATAGAAGAGAGACAGGAGAGAGATATATTATAATAATGGAAAGAGAATAGAAGGAAGAGGAAGGAGAATCATCGAAGCGTGCCATCAATATCGGCACAGCTGCAATGCTTTTAAATACGAGCTTAAAATATATCCTATGCAAGTGCACCACTTTAGCCTTCTTCTATTTTGCTTCATTAAGCTTACACGAAAGCAAGTACCGCTCTCAAGAATAATATTTCTATTTCTGACATGTACGCATCTATATTTCCTTATATAGCCTTATCGATATTTTCGTATATGGTAAAAATTCTCTTTTTGTATCGTCTGCGAGTTCTCTCTTTTCTGTCAGTGTGTACAAAACTTCTCTTCAACAATATTGTGTACGCGATTAATAAGAGCCAAACGGCTGAAGCAGTTACCCACAAAGTATTTTCCTCTGATAATAAAGACCATTACGGAAATATGTCACTTTTTCTCCTCCGTATGTTGAAATCCGCACAACAAAATCCTGTTCAACTTTCTCAGTAACATGAACTCGCTTAAACTGCGCTGAACTCTGACGCCTGCCACTAAAAATAAGTAACCATCAACATTAAACTTTATGTATTTTGCTGAGAAATGTGCTAAAAGATGAATCTATTTGTTAGAGAGTAAGTATTCGATTCCTATTTAGAAATGATTATAGATCATTTTTAATATCTCATTATAGGACATTGATTTCTCTGTTCTCAAACATAGAGAAAATAAACTACAGTCATAGAGAAAAATCTTTTCTCAAAATAATTTGCCTATCAATAGCACTACTTAATATTCATTACAATATAATGCAAACATTGTCTTCTGAAGTTCGCGCTGGCATCTGTTGAACCTTTAATTTCGTAAGATTCATATTTTATTTAGTTCTTATTCAAAAATAAAACATGAAAATATTCAGCATAATTTGTATTCCTCGTTGAGAACATCAAAGTGTTCTCTATCTATTATTTAGTACTGAAAATAATAATAAAGAGATTCTTTATTTCTTTTTTTTAAGAGATTTTCATTGACTTTGTTAATTTTGGTCATCAAATTATAAATCAAACAATCAACATCTAAGGTTTAGGTTTCATCAGTAATATTCAAATGGAATTCACTGGGCTGTTACTTTTCATTTATTTATTTTTCGCGATTATTCGAAGTAAAATGATTTTCTTAATAAAAAAAAATGTTCGTTTTTTATTTCTTTGATTAAGTCGCCAATGCACAAATTAATTGTACTATATTTGCGGATGATCTAGATGCCATTAATCTAAATCCATTTTACGTTCGACTCCAGTTTAATTCATCATTTACATCAGTGTACTCTTCCAATTCTTACTGGAATAGCAATTACCAAATAAGAGTTACATATTTTAATATTTTTAATGATGTGAATCCTTCTGTAAATATATACTGTCTGAAAAAAGTAGAAACACTTCAATTAATAAATACAAATTTACCAATATTACCTGATATAAAAAACTTTCAAGAATTAAGATCATTGATTATTCGATTTGATAATGGTGCTATTGGTACACATTTGCCATCTGAATTCGGACAATTAAAATATTTATCAATTTTAGAATTGTCTAATATTCAAAATCTCGTAGATTTACCCGACGATATTGAATATTTGGCTAGTTTGTCATCATTAACATTAGAGAATATACCAAATTTTAGTCAAATACCAGACAAAAGTATTGGTAAATTAACTAGCCTTCAAACTTTAAATTTAACTGATTTACCAAGTTTAACAACTATTCCATCGTCAATAAATAATATTGAACGATTGCATAAATTAGAAATAACTAGAACACGTATTAAGACATTAAATTTAGAAAAACTAAAAAGTCTATATTATGTAGTAATTACATTTAATTCAGCATTAGAAACTATTGATATTACAAATGTGGCCTCTTTGAGTTACATGTATGTTCGAAATAACAATGAATTGTTAACTTTATACGTCCAGAATTTAGGTTACTTATCAATATTAGACATATTATCAAATCCAAAATTAATTTCTGTCCATATTGCAAATGTATCATGCCGTTCGACACTATCAATAGATGATAATCCACTATTAAACACAGTTATACTAAAAAATGTATCCTACTTAAGAACTTTTAAAACCAATTCATCATTTAATCTTAAATCGATTTCATTTGAGAATTTACATTCTTTATTTAACGTTAGTATAAGATCAGCTTCATACTTGGAAACAATTTCATTTCTTAATGTACCAACAATGCAATATCTTGATTTAACTGGTTGTCAGTTGACAATGTTTCCACGAAGTGTTTTAACATTGAAATCATTAATCCGTTTAAATATGCAATCAAATCAATTATCAACATTGCCATCAACTTTATCAACTGACTTACCAAAATTAGAAGTTCTTTATTTAGGAAACAATAAATTAGAAGGAAATATTTTTCATCCAACACTTTTTAATATTCGTGAACTTGATTTAAATAATAATTTGTTAACATCTATGTATGGTATTGGAAAACATACATCCATAGAACAGTTAGAATTAAATTATAATAATATTGCATTGATTCCACTTGAAATTATGAATTTATCAAAAACATTAAAAACATTAAGAATGAATTATAATAAATTAGATTATATTCCATATCAAATGGCAAATATGAGAACATTACGATCATTTTCTGCTATGAACAATCTTATTTCAATCGATGAACAACGAAACCTTTTCAATATATTTTCACAATCGCCTATAAAATTTATATTTTGAGTTTTGAGCAATGCCTTGTAATACACGAACTCATACATATATATTTTTTCCTTCATCAAATGAAATTCTTATAGAAAAGAAAATATACCTATTTGCTTTGGCACAATAATTCTTTGAAATGTTACAAACTAATACGCACCAAAAAAGTTGAACTTGGGGTACTCGGAAGTTTGCCTGTCATAGCAGTTGTTGTTTTCATACACGCTGATACCTAATGGGCAATGTTCTTTCGTTTCAATTAATGCGACTAAAATCCTTTTGAATGATATACAAATATGTGCCTATAAAATTGTGACAATCTGATAAATTATTCATATGCAAGTAGGGTGTGAGGGTGTGGATGTGTCAAGCAAACTACGATGCGTTTCGACCTTGCTCAAAGGGTCTCATCAGGTGGTTATGACTCAGTAACTATCCAAATGATCCAAAGATCATAAATAGGTTAGTTAATCGTTGGGTTAAGTAGAAGTGAAGTACGAAATTCAGACTAGTTCTAGTTCGGAAAGTGTTTGGGGAATTATGCGACATTGAGGGTGTGGGTGTCAGTTAAAAGAAAAATGACACCCACACCCACACCCTCAATAATATGTTGCTTATACAAAAAAAAAGAATTAAACCTTTTAAAATGCTAAGCCATATTTTATCGCTTTAAAAAAATAAAGAGAGTAAATATCAGTCAATAATATTTTTGTATCGTTGTTCTAAGTATAAAAAAAGACAATTTCCTCATTTTATAGACATGACCAAACATAAAATATCTTTTTATTTAAACTTAAGTCAAAAAAATAAAAGATGAAAGCTATCATATTATTATATGTTATCATATCAATATTGAGAAGTGAGTCTGTATATTCAAAAGGTACTCTAAGTGAATTCAAAGTGTCAGCTATTCACGAACTGCTTAAAAAAGGTGGTTGGAATTGCACAGACGTCATAGAATATTTTATAAAGCGAGCAGTTACATACAATCCAATAATAAAAGCATTAATTAACTTTAATCCAAAGGCACAAGTCGAAGCCTATGATTTGGATGCCTCTTCTATCATGAAAAAAAAAGTATTCAAAGGGCAATTACATTGTATTCCACTTATTATAAAGGACAATATAGATGTAGCTGGCGTACCATCCACAGGTGGAATTAAAGCTTTAAGATATTCAATACCCAATAAAGATGCACCTGCCATTGATAAACTTAGAAAAGAAGGTGCTATTGCTATTGCCAAAGCAAACATGGCAGAAATGGCAACTGGTGACTTGGAAAATAGTGAAATGGGTGGTCAATGTTTGAATCCATTTGATTTGAAACGAACATGCGGTTCATCAAGTTCGGGTTCATGTGGAGGAATTTCATCAGCAATGGCCATAATTAGCTTGGGAACTGATACAGGTGGTTCAATATTACAACCAGCATCATTTAATGGTTTATTCGGAATGAGAACATCAGTTGGATATCCAAAAACTGAGGGTATTATTCCACTTTTTGATAAACAAGATGTAGTGGGTCCAATCGCTAAGCATCTAGACGATCTAGTCTTGGCGTATAGCATAATGGTTGACAATAAAACTATACAAGAAAATTATTTGAAAAAAGTTGATCCCTCCAAATTAAAACTTGGATATTTTACAAATTTTTTCAATACTTTTAATATAACATCTCCTAAGTTAAATAATAAAATGTATTACCTTGATTCAGATATAAAAGAAATCATGTTAAATACAATCAAAAAATTTAAATCATTAAATATTAATGTTATTGAGAACAGTCTCAATCAAACAGAATTAACTGAATTAATCAATGTTATTTATACTATTACTGATCAAGATGTACAAACAATATGTTTAGCTTCGTGTGCAAAATCAAGCTTAAACAATTATTTTAATGATTCTAGTAGATTTGGTGTGGATGCACCTTATAAAAATTACGATCAGCTTGCTTTAAGTTCACTATTAACAAAAACATGGGTTGAAAGATTCTCTCAAGGAAATTTACTTGGCGCAGCTTGCTCGGCTAATTGTCAGGGATACGCACAAATGATAGTATCTTTTAAGAATACTATTGATAATTGGTTTAGTTCAAATGATGTTGATGCTTATATTTTTCCATCGTTTGCTCATCCACCATATCTCTTGGTAAATGATTCAAGTCGAGCCGATGCTAATAGAATTGAGAGTGTTATGGGCATATCTCCACTTACGTACTATCCATCAATTACTGCACCAGTTGGTTTTTCTCAGCCAACTATAGAACAACCAGATGGTTTACCAGTTAATGTCTTTCTTTTTTCAAAGCCAGAAAGCTTCGATAAAGTTTTTCAAATATTTAAATTGTTCGAAAATTTGGGCAAAATAGATAAATTACCGTCTACAACTCCTTTGCTTCTTTCTAACTAAGGTAATGCATCAATTAAAAAAGCGTACTCGATCTTTGCCTTATTATTTTCAGCTGCAATCAGCTTGGCAATCAAATATTAATTTAGTTCGTTTGGATTCGTATTTAAAAAGATCAAAACATACAAATTAAATAAAAAAATGATTAGATACTAATATTTTGCTGGGTTTAACTAGATATGAAATATTTAAAAATTATATGAGTTCAACATTATGTTTAATTTATAAAGGAGGGAGGACATTTTGAAGCAAAATCGGCCCCCTCATCAAATGTGATCTTACCTCCCTACACAGTGTCAGAGCATCGTTTCTAGTATATTTATTCCTTAAAACGCTCATTTTGCAGCAACAAAGCTGGTGGAATCAGTCCCTGAATGTTGCATGTACATTGAATCTAGCTGCTATTGGTAATCAGAACTTTTATCATACAAAGAGGTAGCAAATCGCGCTATTATTAGCATGGTTCGATAGAGAATTTCAAGGGCTACAAATTGGTATACGAACATACAAGAGAAATATTGATTGATACGAATTCATATAGGTCGCTTCGCCATTATGTATGTATTTAGTGAGTTATTATTTGAGTTGCCCATTGAAAAAAGTACCCATGCAAATGGTCTGCCACTCTAGTTTTTGCATGGGCTGATAGCATTTTTCAACCGCTAAAATCTGATACCAAAATATTCAAATAAAAACATTGGCCACAAAAAAACCCAGGGACGGCGCGAAGTAATAAAAGTATAGGGGGTTACTTGAAAACGGGAGGTTTTTTTTCAAAAATCGGAGGAAATCAATAAAAGTCTCTTCTATTTTCTTCAAAAATCAGAGGAAATCAATAAAAATTTCTTCTATTTTCTTCAAATCGGAGAAAAATTGAAACAAAAATTTCCAAAGTTGGGACCTCTCCCCCGGTTTGCGCCGTCCCTGGCAAAACATCATTAAAGCTAGAAAAAAGTTGATAAAGAACTTGAACTTTTTACCGTTTAGATCTCATTTAAATAGTAACAATTTACTCTTATCAATTATTTAATTGTGACAGTACGAGAGTTTTGATAAATTCGTTTCAACTGCTTTTTCTAAGAGAGAAATCAATTTGATTCGTGACTATGAATCAAACCAATTTGAAGATTATACTTTCTATGGGTATCGCTACTCAATGTTATCTTAATGAAAGTTTTGATTTCATCAGGAGATTGTCTTTGCCTTGACGTGTTTTTTTTCGTCAACTAGTGCTGTTTTACGTGTGTTGAGTATAAAAGTCCAAGAAATTTCATTTTTCTTGGTCATAACAGAACCGAACTTAGCTTTTAAAATAAATCCTTGATAAGAACATCAAATACTGTACAATATAAATTATTAAATATAAAATGACTGGATAATTGTCGTGGAAGAGGTTTATTTTTGTTTGATGAATTTCATATAAAAATATTAATAATATCCATTCGTTCTCGAACAAAGTTCTGTTTAGGTGGGAGTTCTTACTTATGTTCCAAGATTGTAAACTGATAGAAAAGTCATTTCTCTACAAAATGATTAAGAATCCCATGTCAAAATAAAAGAATTCGAAGTAGTAAAAGTCTTTTTCTTAATTCGCATTTCTTCTTGAGGGCAAGGAAAAGTATATTTGATTCGTATGCCGGATGTTTTTCTTTTGTTTGCTTACAAGATATTACTATGCTGTTATAACATGACAACGTTGTCTACGTGAAACTTCAATCTACCAAGCGACTTGATAATCAATGTTCTAGGTCAATTTCTACTCAAACAGCAACAAAAGTGACTTCAGTTCATGAAGTCAAGTATCGTTTTCTCTATGTCTTCGAAAACATACTCGTTGAAAAAAATGATTCTCACTCTTTTTGAATTGTGTTATTTTGGAAAGGCGTTTTTAGTCATTTTTTTTAGAGAATTGACTTGTCTAAAAATGTACTTGACAGTAAGAAAATAAGAGTTCCATCATAGATCAAGATAATTTTCCAAACATTTTATTTAATAATTTACATTCTTAAGTTTTTGATGCTTTTAATTATGAAGTATTTTGAAGTGAAACTATTTTTAGCTACTTTGACGAAGAAAAATGAAACGTCCTGTACGTTCATATTTAACATACGGTTGCCTTCTGAGATGATTCATTTGATGATAGTTTGCAACAAAACGTAGTCCGTTTTGGAGATCATTGTTTGATGTATTCAATGGTCTGTATTCACATCTATAGGAGAAAAAAATCGCTGAAATTGAAAATGATAATCTGAGAATCTGAATTTCACAAGAAATGCACAGAAAACTAAAGGCAATCTCCGAATGAAATCAAACATTTTGTAGTGAATATGATTCTACATGTAAAAATTAAAAATTTAATAAGATTGGCAAAATGAATTAGAGTCAACTGATTCCTCTTCGTATCTTCAAGTGATCATAAGGAGGAATATCAAATAATAATAACAACAACAACAAATGAAATGAAAAAAGATCAAAATAACAATAAAAGTATAAGCGACGTTAACAGATGAATATTTTTTGATAGTCTCGGTATCGTTTTACTTTTTCTGATCACATATTGATTAAATGTACATTGAATAGACTCTATTTGAACAATCGAAATATAATAAAGCAAACTTTTCGTCTATGATTTTCCTTTGCAGATTTCAAAATCTTTCTGAATTAATCTAAGAGAGTTTTCATTGATAAGATTTTATTGAGAATTCCACAAATGGTTTAAAATGAAAACTTTGTAGAGAGAAACGATTTCTCCTAAAATATCGAAAAGGTTTCGTGATTTCTATGAACCAGAAATGATGGTCTATAAATCGCCGTGTGATAAAAATCGACTTGAAATTTTAACAAAAGCAAAAAAAATTATTTATGAAGATTTTTTTATTCGATAATACTTTCATAAAACAAATGAAAAACATTCTCTTATTATAGATTAATCAATCAGAGAGAGAGAGAGAGAATTAAATATGTTCCATCAATATTCGAATAATCTTTTCTGAAAAGATCATAGAATTTACATTTCATTCATTTAAATGATGAAATCGCATTCAATAAACAAGATTCTTGTGAATTGTTTCAAGACATTTTTGGAGACATGTCCCATTTTTTTATCTATCTGGATTTTCTTGTCAAAAATTGATAAACAATTGAGATTTTATTAATTTCCACTAAGAAGCACTTTTCATTCTTCTTATTTTATCTGTCATGAATCAAAATGATTATTAACAGAAAGATACGATGAAAAATTCAAATCGAATTGTTGTTCTTAAAAGCTATTTATTGGTAAATTTTTGCTCAGAGATAAAAATTCATTAAAGAAATAAATACAATCAACAAAACTCATATTTTATTTTTTTACCAGTGTCTAATTTACTTTGAACTATCAAACTGAAATACTTGGAAATATTTGAATAAGACGAAATATTATGGGAAAGAAACAGAAAACCTGGTTCGCATATAAATAGGTAAAAATGGTGAACCTCTTTGAAAATTACAATAAGAAATTAATTTCAGTTGACTTTTAAAATTGATTTGTGAATTTGAGTTGAAACATTGAAAATATTTCGATCAGAATAAATGATTTTCTATCGACGAAAATTTTTCAAGATTTAAATGAATTTCAGAATATGGTTTTTTCTTTTCTAAGAAATTTTCTTTGTATTGTTTGCAATAGAAGACCGTGTAAAAACGATCAAATTGATAAATTTCATTTAAGAAGATTTCAATGATACTTTGCATGTTATGCCAACGTATCTTTTTGTTCTATTCGATTTCATTTTTTACTTCTGTTACAAGTTTTTTCAATAGAATAAACAAGAAATAATTTGAAATATGAGATTTTCTTAACATCTATTCTCTGAAATAGATTAGACTAATTCGTTTTCTTTAGAAATTATTTTTTTATGAAATGATTACACATTAAACAGTATTGAAATAAATTCAAAGCTTTCTACACAAATTGAATATTAATATTAAGTTAGCTTAGATTTCAGAAAGAAAAATAAAAGTGAACTAGATGGTATTCAAGTTTTACTCGAATACAAAATGCGATGCGAAGCAGGAATCTCGATCCAGGAAAAATCTTCAATTCAGAGAAATCTTGA